GTGCTGTAGTACAACGCTCGGTCCAGCTGGTGGCGCTAATACTAACTTCAGTGACTCCCGCATTGTCCGAGCTTCCTGTTTACATTCTGATGCTGTAGCTAACAGCTACTGTAGCGGCTACTGTAGCTAACAGACAGCGGGGAACACGTTGTTTGTATCAGAGCAATGAGAGCAATGTGTGAGACGTGTCTTTCCCCAAAGTGCAGCGGCTCAGTGGGACACGAGTGTGTGCGCGCCACGGACACGGGAGTGCGCTTTGGAATAACGAGCGTGAGAGAGCGTGAAAGATGTGGCGTACGAACATGGCGTACGAACATAGCGACCGGAGCCTGCGTGCGTGTGTGTGTGTGTTCTGGCGATTTAAATAAAGTCTGATTCTTGAACGTTTGAAGTGTTATTGCAACAGCAGCAACTGTGAGAGCGAGCATCAGGCCAGAGGGAGACTGTTAGCATTAGGTTAGCTTCAAAATGACTGCTCAACACCATAGACCCGCGGTTAGCGCGTTAGCGCTGTAGTTCTGCGCTGGAGAAAATAAAAATCGAATTTTTAAAAAAAGAAATCGCCCTAAACGTATAACTCGAATTAATGATTAAAATCGATTAATCGCCCAGCCCTACAACTACTGGTACTTGGCTAATTTTATATTACTATATTTTGTCTAAAATCCTTTTCCATCTCTGCTATGCATACAAGCACAACCCTATTTTGTATGACCATTTTAGGAACATTAAATCTTTTCATTCTACTTTATATATTGCATGATATTGAATTTATATTCCTTAAAAACTTTTCATTTCAGTTCTTATTTTTTTTATAAACATCATTACTCACAGGCTGCTCTTGTCTCTGTCCTTGTTTGTGTTGTCTCTTGGTAACACTGGAGACTGAATGGGTTGGCCCCTGTCAGAGTGTGTTTGTCACCACACTAATGTGAGACAGTGCTGCGCTGCTCACTCAGCAAACCATTTGACATGGCAGTAAGCACTTCATTTTATGCTAAATGAAAAACTCTCACTGAAAGGTTTTCAACAAATTATTTTTATATTGGAGCGAAGTGAGATCTTTATTCAGACATTGAGGCCATGTTTTAGTTTACTCATTAATTTAATGAAATAAGGAAGTAATCATCAAGGAGCCATTTCATTTCCATAGACCCCCTGAGATACAGCAGGCTATTAATTTATAAACACTTAAGCTTAACATAATCAAAACTGTCATTACCGTAGATGTTGCTTTCCAATACCTTATTACTGTACTTTCTGCACTATAAGACACCTGTATATACATTTGAAAAGAAAATCAATTTTGTCCACAAATAGGCCGCACTTGATTTCATGTTGTGATGTTGCAGATATGACTGTTTTAATTGGTCTCAATATGATTTAATTACAAGGTGTTTAACATAGCTTAACCGCTTCCAGACCTGTACTCATTCATTAATCTATTTTGACGATAAACAAGTGTCCAATAGGTATTAAAACTTGATGGAGTAGCAATAATAAGTCCTCAAACTCTGCTCTGTCAACTCTACCACAACAAAAGTACACATAACTTAGCGCACGCCAAGGAACCAGCTCACTACAGACCAGTCGCACTGACCTCTCACCTGATGAAGACCATGGAGCGGCTCATCCTCACCCATCTCCGCTCCGTGGTTAGCCCCACCCTGGACCCACTGCAGTTCGCCTACAGGCCCAACATCGGAGTAGAGGACGCCGTCATCTACTTCCGGCAGCGGACGCTCTCCCACCTGGAGCCCGCCGGGAGCGCTGTGAGCGCTGCACCACTTGTGCTTTAACACCAGTAAGATCAAGGAGATGGTAATCGACTTCAGGAGAAAACCACTTTCCCACACACTGCTGAACATCCAAGGGGAGGACATTGAGCTGGTGGACAGCCTCAAGTACCTGGGTGTTCACAATAACAATAAACTGGACTGGTCCCATAACACCACGAGAAGGGCCAACGTTGCCTCCACCTTCTGAGAGGCTGGTTAGGAGGGGCAGCTCCACTCTGGGCTGCTCCCTGGACTCTGTGGAGGAGGTGAGGGACAGGAGGGTGCTAGTCAAAGTCACCTCCATCATGGACAACACCTCCCACCCACTGCACAGGACTGTAGAGGAGCTGAGGAGCTCCTTCAATGGAAGACTGAGACACCGTCAGTGTAAGAAGGAGCACTACTGCAGGGCCTTTATCCCCACCACTGTCAGACTGTACAATAAGTCACTAGAAGTCACTTGCACAAAGACTAAAAAACCTGCACTACTATTGCCACTGTTTCTTTGATTGCCACTTTTTATTGTACATAATATATCCTGCATTTAACATGTTTGCACACTTATTTATTTTGCACAAATCTGGAGTGATTCTATCCATGCCAAATGTGACAAGTATATTTCTCCTCTGTGAAATCAATAAAGTCTATCTTATCTTACCTTATAATGGCTGCATCACTATATAAGCGGCAGGGTACAAAGAACGACAAAAATAAAATAACATAAAATAAAAATAAATTACAAGTAAATTTCTCCAGTGTGAGATCAATAAAGTCTATCTGATCTTATAATAGTGGCTTATATTCCAGAAATTAGTAGGTGTCTGTTTTTAGAATCCCGTCAGAGATACATTTTCCTTAAAAAATACACTCACACATGTAAAAATATTTTAATTTTTGGAACCCAAAACATTTACTAAAATAAATGATTGATTCTCATTTTTTCGCAGCGCGGAAAAACATATGCTGCTCCTTAAGAAGTGTTCATGCCTAATTTTGTCTTGCTATTACCACACATATGACTTGAATGAGAATAGTATTGGAGAACCAGAGAAGAACTCAGGAGAAACAAAAACATTCATAAAAAGCCATGAAGAGATTGAGACCAACTGTTTGTCTTTTTAAATAAAAACCATATTTGGACCTAGCACATATATGTGCTAGGTCCAAATATGGTATGGTATATTTGTTTGGCTTTCCGAGTAAAAAAAGGGTTAGGCACCTCAGATCTAAAGTAAATGACTTTAGATCAGAGGTGTTTCTTACTAATCTTTAAAGCAGGGATATAATCAACATTATTTTGATGGTTGACTTTTCTTTTGTTTAATTGATTAGTTGGTTAGGTTCAAAATATGGGATTTTTTCTACATTAGAACAAAATAAGCTCAAATTATGCGGCTGGAAAACATCTTCACAGAGATGACTTGTTACACATTAGGTTGTATATTTTCATTTAATTCTGCAGTCATAATATGGAGCATTATAGAGTCACCTCTGTTTCATTCATTGATTAATCAATCAGTTGATGACTATTAGAATAATAAATAAGTTGCAGTTATTTGATTAACGTGTTACAGCCCTACTTAAAAGACAAAACTCCTTTAGAGAAAAACAAGTCTCTAAGAAATTCTGATCATTGTATGAGTTTGTCAGAGTTTGAAGATGATAAATGTCTGGGGGTTTGTCAATAAGGCACTGCCGGCTCATCAGTTTCCTAACGGAAATGCCAATAACTTCTGCAAGTATTTGGCTCTCGCGCTTTCATTTCCATTAGGACATTTAGGGCATAAGCTAGTTTTTCAGTTCAGTTTTTTAATTTTTTTTTACAGTTAATATTGCTTGTAATTGTTCATGTAGACCTGCAGATTGTATGCCTGTATCATTCATATATTCACAACAATGGTCTGCTACTCAAACATCACTTTCTTATCAGGTTACATAGGCCAAAGAGGCTTCTTCAATATGTCCTCATGTCTGATCCTTTTAAAGCTTGCTAAACAGCTAAACATATGTGTTTACACCAAAGACACAGGAATACACGCTCTAAAATCACATGGGTTTGAAATACAATAGATGTCGATAATGATTATACAAACTTATGTATTGGTAAGAAATGTATCCATCAGTAAGTTACCACTCTAATTGATATTGGTTAGGTTCACTAATATATTAGTCAGAATGACTATGCATCAGGTAGCGTTATGACTAAAATTCATTGGCTGAAAACATTATTACAGTATCTGCACACTGTTCACATGGATATTTTGGTATAACCTGGGCTGTCAACCTGTCAGCATGATTTCATCAGATCTCGTCAGCAGGGCAGGGACTGGTTAATACTGTGATGGGAGACCTGTGGAACGACTGTGCACAGCTGTCCACATTGGCCCACAATGCCCAGTATGAATCTGTTGTGAATAATCTGCCGTTATATGACTAATTTAGATTGTTTTGAAAACCAATTGTTTTTAGAGTGCGGTGTGAAATGGTTGGCTGCCAGTGTTCAGAAAAAAACTGCAATTCAAAGAATCAATGAAAAACTTGTTTTATAAGTATTTATTTGTTTTCAGAAATAATCTCAACATTCTTTCCTCATTTGTATTTGTTGTGGCTACTTAACACCTAACTATTGTGTAATGAGTGGTGAATGCTCATCGGAATACAAACCTAACTTGCTTTGAGGGAAGATGTTATGCAATGGCGCAGGGTGAGCAGCCAAGTCCTGTTCACCAGAGGGAGGCGCGCTGCCCTCTCATCCTGGAGCAACTATTAGAGAAGTTTGATAAACCACTGAGAAAAGACCAGTGTGAATGATATCTGCAACCTCCTCCCTGGTATTTTATTACTGGATAAAGTCGGAACAAAAGGACGACTTTATTGACTCGTTTCTCCATCTTGGCTTAGATGACTTCGTTTATAGTTTCGCTTTTCTGGGGTCCGTAAAGGTTCGTGGGGAGATAAACTGCCTTTTCCATCGTGTGCACTCCGCACCAGTGGAAGCATCGTCTCACGCACGCAGTGGGCTGCAGGCTGGCTGGGTGCTGTTCAGGCACTATGGAGCAAAAATCACAGAAAGCAGAGCCGGGACAGGAGTCGATGTCCTATCAACGTAGGATGTGGAAGAATTTTCAAGAGAAAACTAAGCCATGGCTGAGCCCTAAGCTAGGATCCGAGAGACGCGGTGGCGGCGGTGCTGAGGGGAGTAAAAAGGAATCTGGGTTATGGATGTTTAAGAGGAAGAAAAAACAACTAGACCGCGTGTTTTCTTCATCTCAGCCCAATTTGTCCCAGTCCTTTGAAGACAAGAAGACACACAGTCTGGAGTCAGGTCCCAGCACCAGCAGCGGCGGACAGTGCCAGCTCGAGCCCCTCGGTGCTGCTTCTGGAGCCACTGGAAGTAAACCCGAGCTGTCTCTACACGGGAGCCCCAAGCTGTCCGTGTCGCTCATCATGCACCAACAGAAGAGCTCATCTCTGGGATCGGCTTGTTTTGAGAGGCTGGTAGTAGAGCCAGCGGCTTTCGTGGCAGAGGAAGAAGATCAGCATACAAACACAAGTGATTCTGTGAGTAGGAACACGTGCAGTAGTGAGACACGATTCATTCAACAATGTGTGGATGTTGTGGGCGCCATGTCTCCGAACAATATGAGCTCTAAAGTACGTACAGTCATAGTAGAATAACACGTATCTCCATGAGTGGCTTGCTCGGTGCAGCGCTTGCGTCATGTGACGCTTTCGAGTGCGCGTTTCCGCACGTTTCCCCGCGGCACGAGCAGCACTTCTCCTATGTCACACTGTCATACCCAGATATCTGTTGATCAAAAGGAGATCATCTAGAACATGCCTTCAAGTGGTGCAGTAGTGCGTGTCCTGGTCCTGTCCCAGGAGCATCATGTCAGTCACTGTCCTTGAGCGTCTCCTCCGCGTCTGACTCACTGATGGGTCTGCGCTGGGCTGTTTGGATGAGGCTCATGACAGATAGGATAACCACGGTGAAAGATAAGCAGTTACAATACTACAGCTTGGCATGGCAGGTACAGTGCAGGGCACATCACCTCGACATGCTGAGTCAGAGCGCCTCTCAATGGGATGATTGTGTGGATCACAGCATTAGGAATATTAGCCAAGCACCGAAAACAGTTAAACGCTGTTGACCGCAAAATGTGCCCTCTGCTTCAGCTAAATCTCTATCAGGTCAAACTAACAACTCAGCAGTTACGCTTTTATCCTGTTCTGTTCAAAATACCCTTATGTCACACGTTTGTCATTGCATTAGTTTTATCTGGCCCACCTTAATTACTACTTTAATAGTTCCTTAATTTAGTAATGCTTTGTTTGCATTTACCCTATGTTCTATTTGTTTGTTTTATTTTGAAAAAATACACTCATTGCTAGCTTTTATTAGGCTTATGATATTGAGTTGCTGCTTTAGACACAAGTTATGACTGAATATCTCACCCAAATGTGGACTTCCATTTGTTGCACTGAGCAATACGTTTTGAATAAGTCAGCAAAAATAACTCTGAACTTTATCTTTAGTGTTCTATTCATCCAGAATAAGGTGACGTGAGTGTGTACTGCGTTATAACCTCACATAAAGTATCCTAATTGATGGGCTCCCTGCTGCACTTTCATCAGTGGATTGAGAATTTATGAGCCACAATGTGCAAGAAATCACTTTCAATCATGTTTGAAAGAAAATTGGAACTATACGTTTCTGCCATCCTCACTCAAGGCAATCAATGTGGATATTGGGATATTGATGTGTTAACATCATGGATCTAGAGCTTCTGGCTTTATGCAGCCCTCTAATGTTTATCATTGTATAAAATCATGTATTCATATTTAGTTTAGTTTACAAGTCTATTTTCAATTATGTTTCCCAGTATGTCAAATGTATCTTTTTCGAGCAGAAATGTCAAATTTTTTGTTTTAATACCTTGACCTTTTTATCCATCTAATGAATTATATAGCGAACGGACGTCAAAGATATATGTAAGTGTATAAAATAGGATAACATGAGACAACCTATTTGTTTGTGGAAAAGAAACTAGCACTGCTTAAGTACCTGTTATGTTTTGGCGGATCAGATCGGTCTGACAGATGGATCTGATCCGTCAGACTGGCCATGCTCCACACTGTGGTCTCTAGACACTCTACAAGTGCTCTTTGTATCTGCTCCTCTGCAGATACAAAGTCATTGTGTTTTAAAAACTGCTGTCTAGTCATTAGTATATGACACATCTGTCAGAATAAGGGTTCAAACAGGGGAAAAAAAACTGACAAGCACATTGTGGTTCTCAGCTTGCAGCTTTCAGGACATGTGCCAGGAAAAATAAAACACTTATGTTGTCCACATCAGTTTTATGGGCAGTGGATAAAGATGGTGATGATGGGCCGAGCCTGTGGATCTATTATATCGGCCGAACCATTTACACTGCCTCAGTATGCCACCTGCTTGCTGTTGATTATACTTAAGATTAGAGTACATTTTACACGTAAATAGATAGATATATTATTGATCCCCCACAGGAGAAATTCAGGTGTCCAGCAGCACCAACAAATAAATACATAATTCCAAAAGTTATGAACAATAGTAATGCAACAGCACTTTAGATTAGCAGTAGCAAAGGAGGTGTAGCTGCTGAGTGCAGCAGGACATGTCACAGCAGCAGAGTGATTAGCTGCTTCCTATCCTCTGATTGATGTTTTCAAAGTAAGCTTGGTCATGACCATTTTCTGTGCTCTGGTTCAGAGTGGTTCAGATAATAGGAGTATTTTCCAACAAAAAATTAGCCTTCCTCCAGTAGATTTACGCTTGATCTGCTTGGTTTGGACCGTGTATCCTCTCTGCTCTGGTCTGGATCATTGTAAAACCATAAACACTACTGCAGTAAAATTTACAGCAAGAAAAAAGCATGAAAAATTTCCATCGCATTCAAAAGTAAAAGTAAGCGTGTGGTATAATTATTTGAACTTTAATTTTCAGTTTACCATTATACTGTCCTGATCAAAAGTTTGACAACCATCCAAATAAACTTGTAAACCGCCTCAAAACATGAACTCAGCAGTGCGTTTCCCCACCGTTAATGTGGATCACTTCAGAACAGGAACTAAGTGTGAGCATTTCTCTCTCGATTTTCCATTTTTGTAAAAGTCTCTTTCCATCCATCCCTAAAAGTTTCCAATTGGATGTAAATGATAATGCCCCTTCTGGGACATGTCAGGTGGGATCTGCTTGTCGCCATTAGGACCTTAAAGAGGAGAAAATCCAAGATGAAAATCCATTTAATTTGATAAATAGACATATTTTTACTACATCTAATTTAAGGAAATGTATGTTTTTTCCTTTTCAAAGTTTGGCTACGCTGTGTGTGGGGCCTTCTCTTAGGTCACAGAGTCAAAAGGGTTCTTCTTTTTCAAGGAACTTCACTCCACATTGGCACCGGAGAGTGGCGCCGTGGCGGCGACTACAGATGAAAAATAGCATGCTGCTAAATCGGGTGTAGCCATCTTTTTAATGGCGTGTGTTTTACACGCTGTCCCTTAAGTAAACTCCATTCATTCATTCATTCAGATCCTTGATGAGCCCTTGACCCTGACCACTCACCCAACTGACACAATTCATTCTTTTGTCTCATTTGTAACTTTTTTCTCCTCTGAACCTTAGACTCATATGCAATTTTAAGTCGCGATATTTTGAAAAATATATTGTTGTTTTGCAGTCTCAGAAAACGCACATGCGCAGCCCAAATGTCACATGGTACGTGCACTCCCATTTGGAGCGAAACGCAGCACACTGCTTCAGGTGAAAAAAGGAGGAAAGTAAACCTTGTCCGTTCATCCACCCGTTCCATAGGCAGCTGTCATTTTATAAAAAGTGTGCATACAAACATGTGAGTTTACCCATGACCAGGCAAGGCAGGTTTATTCATTTAGCATACTTCATACAAAATGAAACTTGTTGTCAAAAATGATTTGACCGACGTGTTCAGAATTTGGTACAGAAATAAGGCCAAGATTCAAGAGTTCCAATAGTACATTTATTTCTCTTTACAATTAAATGTTGATACAGAACTCCCGGAGCTACTCCCTAAATCTCTATCCCTGTGCTCTCACTTCCCCCAATGTGTCCTCCCAACGGTTTTATCAGAATCTCCGATGACGTCACATGGTCTGACGCTGGTCCCAGTCTGGTTTAGTCCAGTTTTGTGTCTCAGGCCGCTAGAGACACGCTGTTCCTGAAAATGATACTTTTATCACAGAAGCCTTGTCCTTGGTGCTTGTCTGAATTCCACGGTGGCTGAGTGGATAGCACTCTCGCCTCTCAGCAAGAAGGTCCTGGGTTCGAATCCCGGTTGGGCCAGGGCCTTTCTGAGTGGAGTTTGCATGTTCTCCCCGTGTCTGCGTAGGTTTCCTCCGGGTGCTCCGGTTTCCCCTACCACTAAAAATATGTACAATAGGTCTGGCATGTGCCTCCTGTACTGGCACCCCTGCTCCCAAAAAAAACAAAAAAAACAATTGTAAACCGCTTTGAGACTCCGATGTGCAGTGAAAAGGCGGTATATAAATAAAGATTACTTACTACTACTACTACTACTACTACTACATTAAATCCAGGCTTTAATATTGCACAAAGACATGTTTGCAAACACCTACTGGAAATCATTAGTATACAACATTATAATTCTACATCAAACTCAAAGTGATATTTAAAACAAGAAGAACCTCATTAAAATCATAAAACAACTTAAAACATGAAAAATCCCATTAGATATATTTTAAGACTGCAGATAGACTCTTTCACATGTTAAATCTCTTCTCTCATAGTTTCAGGAATTTTACGATTTTAGTTGCATAAATCTGAAAGGCTCAGAGTCCGTGCAGTTGGCCAGTCCCTGTGTAAATTATTAGAGATTGTAAAGAATTTCTTGTCTTCTATGTGAGTGAATGTTTGGAAGTGACAGGATGACCATGTTGTGGTCGCCTGGTCGTACCACACCATCGTACCTGACTAAGGCCAGGCTAATATTAAGGTGGTTGCCACTGATATCTTTAAAATGAGAACTGGGAGTGAACTTTTAAATATGTTCAATTGGAGCCCATACAGTCTATGGTACGGACACTTAATAGAGACACAAGAAGATGTTGCTTCTGAAGTTGAGTGTGCGTGTTTTGCTTACAAATACTTGAGTCTGTTGTGGTTTTTAGTATGTTTCCTGTGGTTTAGTGCGGTTGTCATTGGACATGGACACGAGACACTATGAAATAAATGCATAGCTCCTGTGCAGGCACCAGTTGGGCCAACCAACCACTTTCACACACAAGCCTAAATTGTTAATATTTAAACCATGCTGTGTCCTCTGCACTAGAGTGGTCATCTGACAAACAGTAGGCTACAGAATTGCATAGACTCCTACGACAAATAACAACAAGAGAATCTTGGGCACACAGGGGACTTTTTTCTGCAAATGGCAAATAAAATGAATCCGAGTCCTTACATGCCTTCCTGAACTCATGTAGAAGAAAATCAGCCTAATATTGAGTGTAGTGTAGTAGTGTAA